TGTGCTGAACCCTAAAGAAGTCACCCAGCTGGAAGGGCTGTCCTGTGGAGGCCCCCACATGTGCAGGGTGGTAGCTGTAAATCACTGTATGAACCACTCCATGCTACCTACCTTGAGATTGAGCAAACTTGCGACAGCGAAGGAGGCGAGCACAGGGTCCTCACATCCTGAAGAGGAGGATAATCTTTTCATTGCCTGCAAATAGCAAAATCCAAAAGTTCACCTAGAAAGTCAGCCGCGGCATGTTGTCTACAACTTTGCAATCAGACTCCACTCTGGACTTGCTCACAACATGCACACTTGGGAACTGATGGCAAAACTGAACTCTTTCAACTCAAAAACAACAATGAACTTGTCTTAAACTCAACCTGAACAACTGCACAACTTGCGACTATGGCCGCCGAACACTGTCTCTACCACCAGCCTCACTCTCTCCCTCACTGTCTCCTGCGTGCACGTACGAGGATCACCCTGAATGTCCCCACTCAGCACAGCCTCACACACTCTGAACACTTGTCTTCACCAACAACTGGGCAGCTATGGCCGCCGTCGTCTTCCTCCCGCTAGCTATGGCCGCCGACATCTACCCCACTGGCCAACTATGGCCGCTGTCTTCTTCACTGCCCACTTCGTCTCCAGGCACCTGCAGACCTCCATGCACAAGACACCAAGGCAGCACTTCCGCATGGCTCACAGGCGAATGAATGAATGGGTGGACGCTGCCTGTTTATTTATACTTCTTCGGAGGTACCCGGACCCTGCCTCCAGACCTGTGGGCCTGGGCCAAAACGTGTCGCCCAGGGAAGCTTCCAGACGTTTGGCCTTCTGGGCCAAAACGTGTGGAACTCTCTGCATGCTCCAGAACCTTCCCCACGTGCAGCCCTTACCCCCCTACAGAACCCTACGGACTTCTAGAACCTACAGACTCTACAGACTTTCGACAGACTCAGTAGAGACTTCTAGAACAGACTTTCTAGGCCTATTGGTAACAGACCTAGCTGCTAATCTACAGACCTAGGGATCAAGTCCTACTGACCAAGCTACAGACTAACCTAAGCCGTAGGACAGGTTTGGGGATCGAATCCTACTCAGGTCACGGGGTCTAGGTACATGTACAGGGTAGGTCTAGGGATCGAATCTCACTCAGCACACAGGGTCAATGTACAGGGTTAGGGCACAGGTCTAGGGATCGAATCTCTGTGACTGCAGTACCAGGTCAACTGGGTGAAACCGTTTCACTCCCGCCGTCCTAAATTCGAGGTCCTCCAAGAACCCTCTAACTCAAGGCAGGACCTTTACCTTTTCTTTCCCTCTCGTAGGTGAGTACTATGTCGGGAGCGGTTTCTAAAAGCTCTGTTCTTGTAAGCCACCGGTCGTCCTCGGGTTCCTGGTATGCGAACCTAACTTTGTACTGTTTCTGGGGATGACCTCGGCGCCCTGTCCTAAACACGTCCTCTTCCACAATGGCCTCTATATCATACGCGCCATCCATGTCTGGAGGAATCATAGACCTTCTGGAAGGGAACCTGTCAGACGTGGTGCAAGGTAACAACTTAGAGGCGTGGAAGACTGGGTACGTGTGGAGGTGTGCTGGGATCTTTAGCGTATACGACGGGCCGTCCTCTCCTCCTTTGACTTCTAGGACAGTCCATGGTCCTCTATATGCAGGTGAGAGCTTCTGCGAGATGTTTTCCTCCGGTGCGAACTCCTTTGACTTGACCCAGACTAGGTCACCTACCTGAAACTGTGAAGGTCGGCGGTGCTTGTTAGCCTGCTCTATCATGCGGTGCTGGGCCTTCCTCAGGTTGTCTGTGACCTTAGCAACCTCTTGCTCATGATGGAGCGYGAACTCYCGAGWACCGGGTGRAARTYTYTGGATCTGRTCCCGGTTTAGTCCTTCTAGTGGTCGCCTAGGTTTAAAAGACTTATGTAGCTCATTAGGAGTCCGACAAGTAGCTAAGTGAACGCTGTTGTTGTAGGCGCTTGCTACTTTGGGAAGCAACTCGTCCCAGTCCAGCTGATCTGGTCTAATGTACATTATGAGTAGCTGTTGCAAGATCTTATTCATTTGTTCTGTCTGACCGTTAGTCTCGGGGTGTCGTCCTGATGATATCAACAACTTAGACCCGTATACTTTCATAAGATCTTGCCAGTTCTGGCTGGTAAACCGGGTGTCCCTATCACTTACTACGGACAATGGCATACCATGCTTGCTTAACCAGAAGTCAAAGAACTTCCTTATAACTAACTCTATACGGGCCTCTGAAGGCAAGGGAACAAATACTGCATACTTACTAAATTTGTCTACTATGACCATGACTTGAGTTTTTCCATGTCTGCTTCTCACCCCAGTATCCATGAAGTCAATGGACACTGAATCTCCGGGTCCTGAGGGAATAGGCAAGGGTCTAAGAAGACCCAGAGGGGCTCTAGTCGTAGCTTTATTATGCTGACACACTTTGCAACTGCACACATATTCTATGCAGTCTACTTTCATGCCTGGCCACGTATAGGACACCATCAGGTTAGCTAAAGTCTTCTGCCATCCAAAGTGCCCTTCTGTATCGTGGCATTCCCCTAAGATCAGACTACGGATCTCTTCACTATTGGGGACGCATAGCCTGTCAACGACATTAGTCTTTTCAAACAGTAGCCCATTTGTGGTCCGGTAATGTGGCTCACTATCTGGGGCTTCCCTTACTCTTTTCAGCAGCTCACTGTAGATTGGGTCCTGTGCATAGGTATCTCTTACTTTCTGCTGCAGATCGGCCCCTATGTCAAGATAGTGTACTATCGCGCCGAAATAATCAGATCTCCTGCTTAGCGCATCCACTACCACGTTGTACTTGCCTTTAACAGGTTTTAACTGGTCTATCTCAACAACCCATCTGGTCAACTTGGGCGTCATCTTGGCCTGCGTCTTTAGCCATCTAAGAGTCTCGTGGTCTGAATAAACCTTGAAGTGCCTCCGAAGCAAGTAGTGTTTCCAGTGCTCTAGAGCCTGCCTGAGAGCGTAGAGTTCCCTCTCGTATGTCGATGCTGCGACCTTCTCTGAAGGCAGCCTGGCTGACATGAACTCTACGGGCCTATATCCGTTGCCGTCATCTTGCTGTAGAACGACACCTATGCCATACTGACTCGCGTCTGTAGTAACAACAAATGGCAATGATGGATCGGCAACTTTGAGGACAGGGTACTCTATCAAAGCCTTCTTCACTTTGTTGAAGGCTGACGTACAATACAGATCCCACTTCCAGATAGCTTCTTTCTTCAATAGTCTACGAAGGGGAGCGGCGATCGTAGAGAAGTTCCTCACGAACTTCCTGTAGTAGTTAGCCAGTCCTAAGAAAGAACGCAACTCTGTTAGTGTCTTAGGAGTTGGCCAATCTCTGATGGATGCTATCTTGCTGTCCTCAGGCCGAATGCCATCGCCATCTAGTACATCGCCTAGGTAAAGGACCTATGTCTTGGCCCATTCGCACTTCTTCGGGTTAATCTTAAAGTTAGACTCTCTAAGCTTACTTAGAATTTGCCGTAGATGGCCCTCATGTTCCTCGAGGGTCTTGCTGAACACTAGGATATCGTCTAGGTAAACTATGACAAACCTATCTAGCCAGGGTCTAAACAAGTCATTCATACAACGCTGAAATGTTGCGGGTGCATTAGTAAGTCCAAATGGCATCACTATGAACTCGTAATGCCCATACCTTGTCCTGAACGCCGTCTTATACTGATTGTCAGGGTGCACCTCTATCTGATGGTATCCTGATTTTAGATCTATCTTCGAGAAATATCTGCATCCCTGAACTCGATCTAGCAAATCATCTATATGTTGTAATGGCTCTGCATTCTTAATCGTGATGGCATTCAGTCCCCTGTAGTCAATCCACATGCGCAATTCTCCCTCCTCCTTTGGCCGAACGACGATGAACTAAGCCGGATCCATCCTTTTTCTAGGACCTCATCTAACTGTCTGCGTAGCTCCTCTAACTCTTTGGGAGACATCCTGTAGGCTGCCCCCTTTGGCGTTCTACTGCCAGGTTCTATTTCTATTCGGTGCTGGATCGGTCTGGGCACTACCACTGAAGGTGGTTCAGATAGATCCTTATATTCTTCCAGCAGACTGGCAATAGCAGGATGGATCTTTTCTTCCTCCTTAGGCTGATCGGACATTGGCCTAACATAGGCCACGAACACCTGCTCCTCAAGCTGCTCCTTTCGCACAAGCCTGGCGAATGCAGGAGCGCTGAGGCAGCAATGGGCAAGGGCATTATCTACCCCGGACTCATGGAACAGGCGGACTTTCTTGACTTCTCCTGACGCACTAGGGAGCTTACACTCATGCTCTCTGAGCTGAAGTGTGGCTCCTGTTGCCTCTCCCCAATCTGTGCCTAAAACTATGTCAAACGCGAGACTTTCTTCTACAAGGAGGGTCAGGGAGTACAGTACCTTCTCTACCTTGCTATTGTCTGGACCCCCTCAACATACTCTTCGACGCGCATCCTGCTATTGTCTGCGAGGATGCTGACTACAGGCTCTTCTAGTTGCTGGACCTTTAGGTTCAACTTCAACTTACTCGGCGCTTTACGACTAACATAGCTCCTAGTCGCCCCGCTGTCTATGAGGGCTCCTACTCTAGCTCTAAATATCTCTGGAGTTTCCTGTTCGCACGCGCTCGCTTCCCCACATGGCCTTGAAGTAGGGGCAGTTGCAACCCCTACTGGCGGCTGCCTTTTGATTGTTGAGCAGCCCATCGAGCCTGTCTGTACTGAGGACAAAATTTAATTACGTGGGCCGGGTCACCACAAAACACACACTGACCCAAGTTCACGCGTTCCTGCCATACGCGCTGGTCCAAGCCCAAGTCTTCCCAGGGCCTGCCCTGTGGCAAGCCTGGGTGCCATCCTCCTTGAGGTGACCTTCCACCTCGTCGTTGTGGGGACCGACAAGAACCTTGACGGTTTGGCGGGGCACCTTGACCCCTACCTCCCACTTGGCGGTTCCCTTGTCCGCCAACCCCCTGTGCGCCCGGTCCTCGGCCTCCCATGGCCTGGCCACTTTGGCCCTGGCCTCCTCCTCTACCTTGCGGCCTCCCTCCAACCGCGACAGCCGCATAAGACCTCCCCTGTCCTACGCCGCTGTCCTCCTCTTCAAGGCCCCATTCGATTTGACTATATGGGACCTCATCTGTACCA